ATGTAACAATAGCGATATAAGTACTTCAGCTAGATAGCTATAATATTCTTCTAATATTTCTATTTATACTAATATTTTTTACTTCTTAATAGTTTCTTTTAATAATCTTTCAATGTTTTTGAATATTCTTTTCTCACGGCAAAACTTGCGCATAAAGACCACGGACGCTGGCCTGAGCGAGCGAACGGTCGCGGCAGAGATAAGGCACGCCTCGCGACCGCGAGAACCGAGCGAGCGCGGAACTGTTGACCGCCAGGACCGTTGAACGACGGACCCGTGGGACAGTGCAGCATCAGCACTTTTTGTAGAGTATAAAAACGGCCGGAGCGATCGGCAGAAGTGTCATTCAGATTCAGAATCTCAGTCAGTAAAGTTCGCTCCGGGACTTAGAATATTTCTGTTATTACGACTCGGGACTTAGAATATTTCACGAAGTTCAGATTTATAATTAAACTATTATGGTAAGAATTTTGTAGTATTGATAAGCTTCCTTAATTTAAGAACGGGTGTTTTCTTTTATAAATATATACATACATATATATATATAAACATATGTATACGCATTTCTCGTTTTTTCCGTATTCCAATTAAATTATTCAGTTAGTAGTTAGATTCTGGCTTCTCACGCGTCAGTCCTATCCTAAAAACAAGAGAGGTGCGTCACGAGTGCACGCTTGTTGTTTTCTACCATTCCGTAGACAAGAAAGGTACTTACGGGTGCACGCTTGTCATTTCCTACCATTCCGTAGACAAGAAAGGTACTCACGAGTGCACGCTTGTCATTTCCCTTCATTCTGTAGACAAGAAAGGTGCTCACGAGTGCACGCTTGTCGTTTCCTTCTATGTCGTAGACAAGAAAGGTGCTCACGAGTGCACGCTTGTTACCTTCTTTCAAGATACAGGAGTAAGAGAAGTGCGACTCGATTGCACGCTTATTCTGTGTATCTGTTCCCAAGAGACACCATCCAGTTACTCCTAGCCCGCCAGAGAAGACGTCGCACGCATCGAGGAGGCAGAAACTATCAGTTGAGAAATTTATTAAGGAATTACGCGCGTGACGGTCAGTTCGATCCGTTATCCTTAAAGACAACCAATACCTGTTTGATAAACACGGCAGGACGCGACGTGAACAGATTTCCGCGATCAACGAATACAGGAGAACGTTCCGCAAGGCCCATTCCGTGCGTTATTTCAAGTATTACAAACGTCGGGAATCATCGCAGTATTATTATTAAACCAAGGTGGAAGTTAATACAAATCATCAAACCAAAGGTGGTGTACCCGGCAACAATTTTGCCATCAGAACCGCGATTTAAAATATATATGGAGAAAAGACGAAAGGCATTGTATCCCGAAAAAAGAACTGAGAATAAATAATCTCGTTATTTTAAGGTTATTTTGGAGAATACTTAACACCCTTATATACCATTATGCGATAAGTAAAATAGCGGTCGGTAAATAAAGTGACAGTCGGTATTTCCGTCGGTAATTAAGTCGGTAACTGTCAATAATCAAGCGACAGTCGGTAACTGTCGGTAATCCCGCGACAGTCGGTGAACTGTCGATAATCAGGCAAGAGTCGGTAATTGTCGGTACTCCAGCGACAGTCGGTAACTGTCGATACTCAGGCGACAGTCGGTAATTGTCGGTAACCGAAAAACGATCGGTAACTGTCAGTCCTATCATCAATTCCCGACCAAAATCCTCATTCTCCGCCCCGGTAAAGCCCAGTCGGCACCGAAAAAAGAGAACGTACGTTTAGCAAGTGTAAACGGTTTTATCAGACCGTGCGCACTCGAACGTAACATAAAGAAAAAAATTAGTATAGCATGCGTAAACCTTTGTACAGTGCATATGCACTCACGAAAAATCACACGACATTCGGGCGCCTTTCGAGGTCACACCGCGAGAGGGGAAAACCCCGGACCTTTAAGTTTTACCGACTACCTTATCTTATCGGAAGCGTAAGTACAAACCTTTTGTGCTTTGCCGAGGCGAGAGCACCGACGATATATTATCCGCGCGTCATTCCTGAGCCATGAGCTCGTGAAAAAAGTTTTATTCCCACCGCGACGGGACTACCTCGACGCGCGCGTCTCTCATTGGTCGCCTCCGGCTCCCACCTTGAACCAAGGGGCTGTGCCTCCACCAGGCAAACTGGGTATAAAAGACTCATCTCGGAGCCCAGAACGTCACTTCATTTTCACTACACTTCATATTTACTTCTTGTCTAGTTCAGTTTAGTTCTACTTCAAAGTCACTTTCTAATTCCGTTCGTTTCACTTCGTCTCAAGTCTGTTAGAATTTTGCTCTGGTTGAAGCTCTTGTATAAGGAAGCGCCCTAATTGCAAGACACGCGTAATTACGTTAGAATCAGGTAGATTCATAATTTCCGTATATGAAAGATATCTACTTTAACTTCAAATCAAATATTGTCGCTGTCCAAGTTCAAGTTTAATTTCTAGTAGATTCAGGCCGATCTTCTCACACAGGTTGGAGCGCTTGAGTAAGGAAACGACTCGCCAGTTCTATAAAATCCAAGAGACGTTATCCGAAAACACGTCTTCTTTATTTCATCCGTCAATCCAAGCAGTCGTGTGCGCTTGTGTAAGGAAGCGAACCACTGTTCCTAACAAGGTAGTAATCCAGTATCCAAAAATCACACGATTCGGTTTCTATCCCAAGTTGTTCCGTAGATGCCACGGCCAAATAGACGAGGCGTAAGAGCCGGAAGAACAGTACAGTTACAAAAACTCGCACGAGAATATCAAATTGAAGTAGATTTCCAGGAAGCAAATATCTCAAATTTACAATTTCCAACAACTTCCATAAATTCTCAACCAGAAAATCAAACAATTCTTGTCAGTTAGCAATTAAAATCCAAAGGTCATCCAACCGTAGAAAATATAACTTGTAACTTCAGTATTTGGAAACATTTAGTACCGGTAACAGTACCTAGAACTTTTCTACAACCGGTTGTTTCAAAGAGGGATCCGCGATATAAAACGTACGCCGAAAAATCATGGTATAAGCCTAAGTTGGTAACCGAACAAGTAGTATATTCGTGCGACGTGCCTAGTACTGATCTTCGTTATCACACGTAAATCGCGAAGCGCTGCCAGACTTTGTATCCGTTCCAACCTTTGTAAACTTTAATTATAAGCCGTTCTTATGTTAAGTAATTAGTAATTGTCACATCCCGACATTTTTCCCTTCCCGTCGTCCGCAATGACGTTAAACTACGACAAAACTACGACAACCATCGTCCACAATGACGTTAAACTACGACAAAACCACTGTGTCATCACCTAAATTTAAGAATTTTGTACTTTAAGTTCCGTCTTATAGTTACCAGTTATAATTATTAATCTCATGCATTTTTGCGCTAATTATATTTATAAGACCGCTTTTAGACCTGTTCTACAATACAGTCGTAAGTCGTAAGTCGTGAGAAATTGACCAATCACAATCGATTATTCTTCTGTAATTGGTCTGTGATTGGTCAATTTCTTACGACTTACGACTTACGACTGTATTGTAGAACAGGCCTTAACATATATTTCAGTTTCCGCTCGCTTACAAGTAACATTAAGCCATTTTGCGCCACGACAAAATCTGATTGGTCGTTCTCCTAGTAACAAGCGACCTGATTAATCGAACAGATTGTCGTTTATTCCAACACCTTGGACCCCTGTGAACCACGTCCAGTGGTCAGTTTTCGAAAACTCACCTTAGAAACCGATTAAAACCCGTAAAACTACCTGATTGGCTGTCCTTTAAAACGTTCTGATTGGTCAAACCTTTTATTACGTTTTTTAACTCTCTGGACCTCTACAAGTAATGTCCAGTAGTTAGTTCTCCAAAGTTCAGTCAGGAACCCGGTCTAAAAGTCAAGAAACGTTCTGTGATTGGTCGAGAAGAAATTCTCTTTAAAACACCGCCTTTAGGCGTAGCGCTCCTTAACCATAGAGTATAGACTTAGAATAGACGTGCACCATGGGCCGCAAAATAAGAGTAACTCATGCCGGTAACGTTCGTATTAGTAAAAGTACCGTTCACAGCAAGTACCACGATCGGTATTACCACTAGTACCACCCCGATAGCAAAACGTGCAATCGCACGCGAAGGCACACCGTGCAGTCACGGCGTGCGTTCACAGTGGCATCTCTGTGCAATCACTGCATGGAAAACGCCATTATAACCGCACAGAGAGCGCACGTGGTGAATATCACAGCGACGTGCGCGCACTGCGATGAAAATGCACCGTAACCGCACTGCAATGAAAATGCGTCGGAACCGCCGTGGCATGTGTTGTGAACGGCCGCGTTCAACACAACAGTTGCTGAGTTGTCTTGTCACCACTTGACGTTAATTTGTTGGTTTTATGAGTATAAGAGCCAATTACGTTTGATTACTACAAAGCAGCTTATTCTAGTAAACAAAGTTATTGTACCGAAAGTGGGAAAAGTGACCAATAATAAAATAAATGAAAAATATTATTACTAACTGTGTTTTACAGGTGGTATGTTTTGGCAAAGTTATTCTCATTGTGGCAGTTGACTCAGGTAAGATACATACAAAAAAAATATCACCAATAAATTTAAGTTTAAAGTATATAAAAAAATAGTTAGTGGTAAAAAAATGTGTATTTTATAAAAATTTTATATTTTTCAAAATAGATGATTTTCTAAATTTTCAAAATGTCGATCAGGCGACTTATGACAATGCGGTAAATATTATTTTTATTTTTTATATTTAATAAAAATTGATTGTATCAAAGTCTCTTCTTCATATGATATAATGATATTATTTACAAGTCAATCACTTCATCTATTTAGGTGGTATGAATCCCGTGGACTCTGCAGGACATTATTTTAAATGTGCCTTTACTAGCGATATAGATATTTTATCTCATGTCACGTGGCTGGGTACAAAAAATTTATACGCTTTAAAAAGAACTCGCTTCGCCGAAGCATGTCAAGGTCACATCTTTATTATATTATTTTGACTACATTGCTTTCATATCTGATTAATGTTAAAAATGCATTCATATTTAATTTACGTTAAAAATGTTTTTTCACAGATGCAATGGCTAGAAATCGTGACTACTGTCGACCAACTAATATCGAGTTTGCTGAAGCAATAACTCGTGCTCTTAAAAGTTCAAAAGAGAGGCGACGAAAACGTCAATTAGTCGCGGATTTGAACAACCGACATCAGATCAGCAATCAGATAATCGACAACGTTGAAGAGAAAGACCGTCAAGTTTGTAGATGTCATGTGAAAAAAACAACCTCTGCCAAAGTTCACAGAATATCGCCAGAGTCAGTTGCTACCTTTCAAAGCACTGATGTAAGTTTAAGCATTTGTATACTACATTAATTGTCATTTTGTCAACATATGAAAAAGTAAAAAAATCCGAAAAGTTTATATTGCTGAAATAATACAAAAAACATCAAGTTTGTCTTATCACTCGTCAAGTTTCAACAAAACAAAAAACAAAACTTGTTTATCTGGCGTTCAATCAACGTCTGGCACAATGCCAGACGTTCATTGTGTTGCCTATTACAATAAAATTACATAGAATTATAATTTACACTTTTTTAATTCAGGCTTCGAAACATATTGAAGAAAATTCAGAGGTCGACGAGCAGGACAAGCATTCGGACTATGATCTCGAACCGTACGAGGAGTCAGTGATCGAAGAATACCGCTTAGAAGAAGAGATTTTTAAGAGAGAAGAAACAAATTATAAGGAAGAAGACTTTAATTCTATTCTAACGCAGTCCGATCTCGAAAGAATCGACAAATTGTCGACATACAAGGTATTATAACATGTCTCATTATAATTCCTCAGTGTACCAACAGATTGTTTAATATTTTTTTTTGTTATGTTTCACTAAACATAGCAAAAACATGAATCTGTCTAGGGAATTAATTATTCATTCTTATAAATATTCATTTTCCTGTCTTTTATATATCCTTATATATAATTCTTAGATAAGAATATATTTAATTATGATTGTTTTCATTACAGAAACAAAGAAAGAATTAAAATGTCGGTAACGACTATTATTTTTTTCTTTGTATCAGGGAATCGTTTGCAGGGATATTGGAATATAATTAATGATTTTATTTTTATATGAAATTTATATATTTTTTATTTATATTTTATTTAAAAAATTTTAACTTACATATTTTAACTATGCAATATATTTTATGACGTTTATAGTGTTTTCACTGTATGAACACTGATAAGCAATATTATGTCAACTCACATCGGTGTGAGTACAGATACGAAGATTTTTGAAGATTTTAAACCAATTTTATAAAATTTATCAAATTCAAATATTTCAATATTTGTGTTACAATTTAAGTCTTAAAGTACTATTAAAAAAACATTTTTTGATTGAGAGATACTACATAAAGAGACATACTACATAAATATTTCAAATATTTTATTTTTTGTTGACACTATATTGTTTATTAGCATCTACACTATATATTATTTCTTATACTATATATATATTGTTATTCTTGCAAATAATATAGCATTATTAAATACATTCTTAAATATATTACAATTATATTGCAAACAATATAAAGTATTTTATGTGTTATATTTTATGTGCTGTTAATAAGCATGTATCTCATTAATAATAAATAAATTATTGTATTGCAAAATATAATTTAAAAAATAATCTGTAATATTTGTCACTTGTTTTTTTCGCTGAATTGGTCGCACTAGTTCTCAGAGTTTATTTTTTCCTTCCAATATAGAATGAAACAAATAAACTCTGAACTAGTGCGACCAATTCAGCGAGAAAACGCTTAATTTGACTTGTGTTTACAAGTCAAATTAAAAGTATACCTAACCTAACCTCACAATTCCTGCATATTCCGAAAGCCACACATAACGCCACTTTGATCGCACAGTGATGCCACAGTGAAAGCACTATGATAACATTGTAAAAGCACTGTGACCGCACGCAGTGCGATGGCACAACGTGCTGTCACGATGACGTCATAGCGCGAACGTACCTGGACCATAGACGTATAATATATAGACTGCGCGTTTGGCTGAAAAGATGTCTTCAACGTTGAGAGAGACAACATACTTTGAATAGTAACTCTTTCTCTGTCTATCATTTCCCCCACTACTTCGCTAGACAAAGATGAAGCTACTATTCAACACCAGCTGTCTCTCAACGTTGAAGACATTTTCTTAACATGGCAAAGGTAGGGAACGCGCAGTCTATATATTATACATCTATGACCTGGACATACTCGTGCTGTCACGCGTGCGCCACAGCGTGCGGTCGCAGTGGCGTCACGGTGCCATCACATGGCTATCGGGGCATCGTTTTAACGTACTAAAAAATTTACCACTGTCGGTAAGTTAACAATCATTAAAAACCGTGTTTCTAAGTTGGTTATCGACCAGCACGAGTTACCATTGTATTTTTATTACCGTTAGTCATAAGTTACTTAGTTCAGGTCAGAACAAAGCGGCAACTCGTAAGTTGCAAAATTAATATTTTAATTTGATAACGGTCGTAATAAATCCAAAAATAATTACAATAGACCTTCTCAGCCTTTAAGACTACAGTTCGAGGTAGTTAAAAAATAAATACTTAAGTGCTATAGTGGAAACGTTTTGATCATATATTGGTTTTGATCATCTTCAGCCACACTGAATAGAATACATAAAAGATTCAACAAGAAACGAAGAGCAAAATACATATTAAATATAGAAAGTCGCATATACACCTTTAAGAGGAGATATCAATGCCATTACCGATTGTCAACATGCGAGAGAAGTCAAGCCGAGTAAGACACAAACAACATATCGTTGTAAAATCAAATGGTCTGTGCATTGGTTTTGTTATCAAAATATATAACATTTATGAGAAACTATTATATAAGAAAGACGTTAAATAGTAAATTGTAAAATAAATAAAAAATTTAAAATATAAAAGATTCTTTTTAAAATATAAAAATAAATAATAAGTTTAGTCATGTGTCAAATTTTCAAAATGTCATGCATCAAACTAGAAGTCAAAAGAAATAAATGAAATAATAAATAAACAAAAATAATCAGAAAGTAACAATAAACTCACTGAAAAATTGGTTGATTAATCACAAAATTGTTGAGTTCTCTCACACCGATCACACGCGGCAACAAACAAGGCGCAAACATCTCGTATGACAAGTAAGACGCAAATGCGAGGTAAGTACAGCATAAGAGCCGGTAAGGGGGGGGGGGGGGAAGAAAAGAAAGACAAGCCCGAGAAGAAGAAAGAACACGAAAACAGGATTATTTACTCAATTTCTGAATTAAAGGAGTATAAATTGGATCTAGTACATCTGTATCTTTCATTAAATTAATACCATGATTCTGCATCTTTATGTGCAGCATTTCAGAAATCAGTCTCTTATGGTAAAACTGCTCATTATCAAGTATCTCAACGTTATCCCAGATAAAATCATGTCCCAAATCGCTCCGATGTTTACTAATCACTGACTGACGCTCGTAATCCTGATAGAAATTGCGTTGATGTTAAGAAAGTCTTGCGCACAACTGTCTACTTGTTTGGCCTATATAGGAGGCGTCGCAAGAAGAACAGTTAATACCGAAGAATGGATTTTGATAAGAACAGTAATGTTGTCTACAAAATTACTGAAAAATGCTATATCTCATATGCAGCAGAATGTTAACACATTCGCTATACCTATATTCATCGCTTTTGTATTCCCGAATTTCACAAGGGAGGACCCTTTGAAACTTTTGCACGTAAAAAGTATATCTATATATATATGTATCAGTATAGTAAGTTTAACATATAAGCTCGAAACCTTTCGTGCGCGTTCCAGAAGCACAAGGGGTGGCGTAACTATAGAATAAGACCTAAGTATAGCATGCGTAAACCTTTGTACAGTGCATATGCACTCACGAAAAGTCACACGACGTTCGGGCGCCCTTCGAGGTCACGCCGGGATCAAGGGAAAACCCCGGTCCTTTGAGTTTTACCGAGACGAGAATTCCAGAGTTATCGCAACCTTTGAGTTAGACCGAAGCGAGGCGCCGCAGTGACGGCGACCACCTTATCTTATCGGAAGCGTAAATACAAACCCTTTGTGCTTCGCCGAGGCGAGAGCACCGACGATATCTTATCCGCGCGACATTCCTGAGCCGTGAGCTCGTGGGAAAAGTTTCATTCCCACCGCAACGGGACTTCCCCGTTGCACGCATCTCTCATTGGTCGCCTCCAGCTCCCACCTTGAACCAAAGGGCTGTCCCTCTACCAGGCAAACTGGGTATAAAAGACGCATCACGAAGCCCGGAGCGTCATTCACTTCATTCACTCTTACATTCTACTTGTTACAATTTGTTCTTACACTCCTCTTCTCAGTCATTCTTACACTTCACTTCTAGTTCGTCAGTTTTAACTCAGTTCACTACACTTCATTTCAAGTCTGTTAGAATCTTACTCTGGTCAAAGCGCTTGTATAAGGAAGCGCTCCAGTTGCAAGACACGCGTAAAGAATCAGCAGAAACAGCGTTTTACTTGTAAAATCAAAATCTCTGTAGGAACTTATTCCGGTGAAGCGCTTGTATAAGAAAGCGCCCTGGTTGTAAGCCGCGTAACAACGTTAGAGTCAGGTACACTCATCATTTCCGTAAATAAAAGATATCTGCTTCAAAGTAGAAAATAAGGCCGATACGAGCAGTGAGAACCGGTTGGTCGTGTTCAAATAGAGACTTTATTTATTATATTATACAAACGTTTCGGTCCCAACAATATTGGACCTTCCTCAGTGTATAAAAGTTAGATTTAGTAAGCTTAAAATCGCTACATCACTACGCAGTAAACAGGAAAAGTCAACAGAACTTGTCGTTCAAGAATAATAACAAACTATGTACTTCAGTACTGAAGTACATAGTTCAGTACTGAACTATGTACTGAAGTACATAGTTTGTTATTATTCTTGAACGACAAGTTCTGTTGACTTTTCCTGTTTACTGCGTAGTGATGTAGCGATTTTAAGCTTACTAAATCTAACTTTTATACACTGAGGAAGGTCCAATATTGTTGGGACCGAAACGTTTGTATAATATAATAAATAAAGTCTCTATTTGAACACGACCAACCGGTTCTCACTGCTCGTATCGGCCTTATTTTCTACTTTGAACTTTTCACGAGCGATTTATTGATATCTGCTTCAACTTCAAGTCAAATATCGTTGCAATTCAAGTTCAATTTCAACTTCTAGTAGATTCAGGCCAATCTTATCGAGCTAGAGCGCTTGAGTAAGAAAGCGACCCGCCAGTTCTGTCAAATCCAAGAGACGTTATCCGAGGACACGTCTTCTTTGTATCATCCGTCAATCGAAGCAGTTGTGTGCGTTTGTATAAGGAAGCGAACCACTGTTCCTAACAAGGTAGTAATTCCAGTATCCGGGAATCATAAGATTCCCTTTCTATTCCAAGTTGTTCCATAGATGCCAAGGCCGAATAGACGAGGCGTAAAAGTCGGAAGTGCAGTTACAAAAACTCACACGAGAGTATCAAACAGAAGGAGATTTTCAAGAAGCAGATATTTCAAATTTACAATTTCCAACACCTTCTACTAATTCTCAACCAGAAACGCTAACAACTCACGAATTAAATCATCCAATCGTAATATCCGTAGAAAATATAACTTGTAAGATTAGTATTTGGAAACATCTGGTACCGGTAACAGTACCTAAAACTTTTCTACAACCGGTTATTCCAAAAGAGGATCCGCGGTACGAAACGTACGCCGAAAAATCATGGTATAAGCCTAAGTTAATCACCAAAGAGATAGTATATTCGTGCGAAGTGCCTAGTTCTGATCCTTGTTATCACACGTACATCGCGAAGCGCCGCCAGATTCTGTATCCGTTTGAGCCTTTGTAAACTTTAGTTATAAGCCGTTCTTATGTTAAGTAATTAATAGTATTAAATGTGTAAACCTCAAAAGAAAATTGACCAACGCCTAGTTTATTTGTCTCTTGCTCTTGATCACCACCAAAGATATAACCTCGGCAGGT